AGTGGTAAACGATTTGAACAAACTCCCAGAGGAGGTGATTGGGGCCACGTCAGTCGTGAGCTTCAAACACCGACTCGATGGCATTTGGAAGCAAGTATTTGAGTCGAGCGTAGCTGACCGACTGAGACACCGAACGCGATCGTAGTGAAGGCTCTTAGCTGATAGGTTTCTTTCACTTTTTCTTTTTTGATTTTTCATCCCCTTCGCTTGCCGCCACCGTTGGCGCCCCCTCAATGCTTATATTATCTCTGCTTCTACCTCTTCTTTCCCAGTCACGCCTATCTCACTCCCCAGAAAAATTCTGCTTTTGAATCCCTCACTCGAACTTTGGACTTTGCCGGCTTATCCCTTTTATGATTTAGTTGCAGGACAGACCGCCCGCCAAGTGGCGTACAGATAACAACTATGAAACTGCACGCACACAGTGGAATCAGTGTCTGCAGGTCGGGGTATCCTGATCTGCTTACCCTATTGTAACAGAAGGAAAGTTTAATTTCACCTATTGTCGCAGCACCGGGGGATTCAAGGAGCTCACCAGTGCAAGAACCTGGACACTCTGGTAATTGCCGTCACGGTCCTGGATACCAACTGTAACGGTAAACGTAACTGAACTGAACTGAACTGAACTGATGATAAATGGCACTGAAGCCACACCGGTGAAAATCAATGACGAGGTCAGGGACCTAGTTATCGTCATTCATGATTCCTTCCAGCCCACAGGACAGTGTCAGATAGCCTCAGCAAAGGCTTCTAAGGCGCTGTTCTTGCTAAGAAGAACAGTAGCATCAAGAGACCCTGCAGTCTCACTGCCCCTCTACAAGGCGCTGGTGCGTCCACACCTCGAGTACTGTGTACAGGCATGAGCACCGAACCTCGTACGCGACCAAAAGGCTCTGGAGCACATCCAGAGACGATTCACTAGACTTTTCCTGCCCTGAGAATGATGTCGTACCCGAGGCGCCTGGGAGAACTAGACTTGTTCTCTCTATCTCATAGACGAATGAGAGGTGACTTAATAGAGGTTTTTAAGATACTGAAGGGACTCTCACAACCTAGCAGGCAACTCTTCTCCCTCATTGAAAACTCATCCCTGAGAGGACACCAGCTGAAGCTGGTCAAACTTCGTGCATTAAAAAGAGAAATGGCAAACTACTTCTCTTATAGATTGGTCAACGCCTGGATTAGACTTCCTGATGGGGTTATCTCGGCGTCCACCTTGGCGCTGTTCAAAAAGGCTCGATGAGGTGTGAGACGTAACCTTCCCCGAATCAGCCTAAGGAAAGAACCAGCAGTCCTTGGTGGTAGCTATACTTTTAACTTTCTCGTACACTGCCCCCCACTCATCTTTATTAATAACTATATCATTCCATTTACTTTAAATACATTCAATTCATCTGTGTGACCAAGCAATCAAAGTCTCCGAGCAGCAAATACTTGATACGGTAAGAATGTTACAAGCAGACGAAACTGCTTCAAAAAGGGTTAACTTCGGGGGACATTTCCCGAGCTCCTTAACCCCTCAGGAAATGACGAAGTTACTCTTTAAACATCTGTATACGACGGCTTTCAAGCCCGGCGAATGCTCGTGGCTTATTTACAAGAAACAAAAAACCCCACGGCCCCGTGGTAGATATGGGCTCCCTTTCTAGAGTCAGTAAGCTCATCACGTTAGCTCCATCCCTAAAACGATTCTGCAAGGGACTCAGAGGGGTATCGGTTGATAAACCCCTGCATCTTGGGCTACCTGTTGCAAAGCAAAACGCCCCCTATTACCCCTCGACAGCCTGCAAGGTACTCCGAAGCGCCTTCGTGACGGTCATACGTCTGGAAACTGACGGAACCCACTCACAGCCCATCTGACCAAACGTTCACCCCCTAGACGAGAAAGTAGTCTGCTTCAAGCCAATAGCATGCAGCTTGGCGAACACAAATGTATGTTCTGCGCACGCAGTGATCAATCGCAGAGAATAGACGTCGGTATTTATGGTCCCCGGGATTACAAACCAGAAAAAGCAGACCGGGCTCCGAGTGATCAACGCCCCTCCGAGAAAAACGGCCTACTTGGTAATCCCCTCGTCCTAGAAAGTAACATAGTCGCGGGAAAAAAATTGCCTGGGCTGCCTACTGCCGCTGCCCAGAAACTTAAGACTGTCGTTCCAACTATCCCGAAGCTTACCAAGTTTTCTAAAGCTTTTCCCTTCCTCCCAACTTCCGTATTCATCCCCAATAGGGCGGTAGTGGCCCGGTGGTAACGNTCTCACCACCACCGCCTGACTTTCCCCATTGTTGTATTATATGGCAGCCTTTTGATTGGCCGTCTCCCTCTTCCTGAAAAATTGTATCTTTCTAAATTCAATAAAAGGAAGTAGAATGAAAAGAAAAAAAGAAATCAACTCTTTGAATGGGGCTTCCGGAGGGTCGACCCCAAGAAAGGCGGCCAAACCAAGTTCGCCCATCTGTGAAACCTCCACTTTCCTGCACGTAGGTGTCCAACAGAAACGCCGACAGACGACACACGGGGTTCCCTCCCTTTATGTCCCCACCAACGCCCTCCAACAATTTCTTCCTTCTCTTTGCTTCATCATGAGCGAATTGTTAAATATTTTTATTGCAACTGCCTCAGCCTCCCTAGAATTAAGGCACCTTGCATTAGACAATAAACAGGATTATTTACCGCTGACAGAAACCTGGTTCACNAAAACTGGTATAACCCTGGGTGCTTGGGCTCCAGAGTCATGTGTAACTCTCGCACGATCACCGGTGACGATGTCTACCTTCACGGCACTTGATAGCACGGCGTCTCTGAGGTACATACTGGGAAAGGTTACTAACAGTCGCCTTGGTTCAACTGCTTTGAGGCCTTTCCATACTCCAATGCTGTGCACTTGACAATTGGAGTGTTTGCTGGCCTCCCAATCATCCTGAATAGGTCGTGGAGGCTGCGCGAAGTAACCATTCCAGGCTAGTCCCTTATTAGAAAAGACTCCACCCGCGGAAGAGCAGGTGGGGTCATAATTTATTTTAAGCACCATCTTCTCCCTCCAATTTTTATAAACACTGATCCTATCCCTCTCATAGATAGTCTGTGCATCTGTTTTCAGATCTCCAGAACGATCAACTTCTTGATGTGCCTAGTTTATCGCCCACCACAATCTAGTCCACTAGATAATCAGCTCCTGATCGACCAGCTTGGGTCTGTCACGGAAAGCTGCAAACATTCTCACCTTCCGGTGGTAGGGGATTTCAATGTTTTTCGCTAACTTTTGACTATATAGTAACCTGGAATCTGTTTAGCGGTAACGCTTGATACGTTCGTTCCTTCAAAAGAACAAACTTTGAAACTGTAAACCGGTTTCTGCAATTAAACATTAGCCCTTCTTCTGAAATATATGCCAACGGCCTCACCAGGCACATAGAACAAGTGATCTCTCTTGAAGACTCGCAAATTCTTCACAGAATTCGAACGGCGTCTAATCATAAGCCTCCTCTTCCTCGCCGAATTTGCCGGTTGTTAGGGCCAAGCATTTAGCAAGATACATGAATACTCGTCTCACGGCCGACGGAGATGCTTTTAAATAAGTTAGAAACCTCAACCAACACAAAATTCGGGAGCATCAGAAGTACACCCAGAGCGCTATCCTTACCAATGCTCGAAACAGTAAGCCTTTCTTCTTTAAATATGCCCGTAGCTTGCGTAAGCCCTCTTTCTGTCGCATAGCTCTCACCAATCCAGACGGATCAGTTGCCACATACCCAACAGAGGCGGCGAAAACCTTCCGATCACACTTCTGGAAAACATTCAACTCCCCTCCGGTGCTCAATCACCCCATTCTGCAGCCGCTAGATACAAATTCATCCCTGGGATTCATCGTCTTCTCACAGGATAATGTTGAGAGGAGACTCCGGAGCATTAATCTGTATCCCTGCATGGGACCTGATAATATACACCCCAGGTTACTGGTGGAGTCAGCCGGTGTACTAGCTGCCCCGTACACCCTTCTCTTCCAACGCAGTATGGACTAAGGAATCTTTCCCACAAGTTGGAAAGAAGCCGTTATTTGACCCGTATACAAAACGGGCGGTAGGCACTTCCCTGATAGCTATCGTCCCATTCCCCCAACCAGTATCCCAGTCACATTTTCGAGCGTTTAATAAAAGACGAAATCCTGGAGCATCTTAGGATCAATAGCCTGCTCTCTCGTTTCCAGCACGGTTTTCTACCTGACATGCATCACCAATAAACTGACTGTCATGGATAGCCTGACTAAAGCATACTATTCCGGCAACATCTCTCATGCCGTTTTCATTGACTTTGCGAAGGCTTTTGACAGGGTTTCACACATCCCTCGTTTCCACAAACTTGCGGCACTTGGCTTTATAGACCCCTTGCTTACTCTTATTCGAAGCTTCCTCTCAAATCGCTCATTTGCTGTTCGTGTTGGCGAATCTTCAGCACAGCCCAGCTCAATTACGACCGATGTTCCCCAAGGTTCTGTTCTAGGACCCATTCTCTTCCTCATTTATATTAATGACCTACCCGGTGTAGTGTCATCATGGATTGCGCTGTACGCCGATGATGTCACCATCTGGGATACAGACGCCTCTCTTTCACAGGCTTCAATTGATGCTACCAAACGCTGGTCACTGGATTGGAATCTTCCAATCAACGATGACAAGTGTGTTGTGATGTCGTTCAATGGTCACGCTTCTCACCCTTTTACGATAGAAGGTTCCCATCTACT